TTTGCTACAGATCAAATGGCTACCGATAAGGTAAAACAGACAGGCATTTATTCACGCAATCATATTTTTTTCGTCTCTCTCTTTCTCTTTTAGTGAAATTAGCAGCAGTGCTAAATAAATGAAATACTGTTTTGCAAAAGAAGTGATGTCTGTCAAAAGAGTAATGTGTTTAGGAAGCTAACGGTAAGAGTCGAGAGTTGTAACTTCCAAACTTGTCTTTATATTCGTTGTCTCTAATCATTTTTTGATTGCAAAGTCGTCGTGCATTTTAGAAAGCAGCAGCGAAGCCGATTTCTGTCTTATTTTTTGTCATTTTAATGCTTCGAAACTATTCTCGTGAAGAGTTTGTCCTTAATAACCTTAAGTGCATGCAATCCTTTTAGTGTGACACCAATCATTCCGATTAGAAAATAAAGAACAACTAATACACATCTTAACTTAACTTTTGGTCACTTCCTAAAATAGAGTACGAACAGAAATTTGAAATTTAGTTTTTTTTTTCTTTGTCCAAAAGTTAAGTAGTTAAAATAGTTTCCTCAAGAAGCTCTTACTCTTTTAGTCCCCTCTCCCTTCCCGGTGGAACATTTTCCTCGCGAGCTTAAATTAGCTCGCAGGTGAAGAACAGGTAGAACAAATTACCTCATTAGACCGGTTCGCTACCTGTTTTCTTACCTCACCCCCCCCCCCTTCTCCACTGCCACCCATCAACCCGTCTTCAAAGCGTGTTTTCTTGTTTCATTTTTTACCATCTTTTCGTTAACTTTCTTAATAACCTCCATTTTTTCTTGTTCTCATTTTCCTTTCATTTCTCCCAGTTCTTGTAAATCTTACGAGTTCCTTTACAGAAACGTTGAGTAGGCTTACTGATTTGCTTCTGTTCTTGCTGAGATATGTACATCCATAGAAATGAAAGTAATAGGTCATTCAAAAAAAAAAAAAAAAAAAAAGAGAAAATAAAAACTAAAGGAAATATTGTGAAATATAAAATGGCGATAATGACGAGATTCGATGCGACGACCGCTGACCCCGTGCTTCTGTCCAGGCCGCTGCTGAGAAGATGAACAAGCAGCTTCAGCACCAGATTAACGAGATCCAGTCCAAGCTCGACGAAGCCAACCGGACCCTCAACGACTTCGACGCCACCAAGAAGAAGCTCGCCGTGGAGAACACCGACCTTCTGCGCCAGGTGGAGGAAGCGGAGAGCCAGATCGGTCAGCTGTCGAAGCTGAAGTTGTCTCTCACCAACCAGCTCGAGGACACCAGGAAACTCGCCGACGATGAGTGCAGGGTATGGGCTTTTGGTGCTTCTCTTTCTCTCCTTTTCGTCGGGTTGTAAATTATTTGGGTGCTTATGGTTTCGCGGTATATGGTTTGTAGATTTATGAGTGCGGGTCTTCTTTCAGGAACGTGCAACTCTTCTCGGTAAGTTCCGCAACTTGGAGCATGACATCGACGGCCTCCGCGAGCAGCTGGACGAGGAGGGCGAGGCGAAGGCCGACCTGCAGCGCCAGCTCTCCAAGGCCAACGCCGAGGCCCAGATGTGGCGCGCCAAGTACGAGTCCGAGGGCGTCGCGCGCGCCGAGAGCTCGAGGCAGCGCGCCTGAAGCTCGCCGCCCGCCTCGAGGAGGCCGAGCAGCAGATCGAACAGCTGAACATCAAGAACATGAACCTCGAGAAGACGAAGCAGCGCATCGCCACCGAGCTCGAGGACATGCAGATCGAGGTCGAGCGAGCCACGGCGCTGGCCAACGCCGCCGAAAAGAAGCAGAAGAACTTCGACAAGATCATCTCCGAATGGAAGATGAAGGTCGACGACCTCTCGGCCGAACTCGACGCCTCGCAGAAGGAATGCCGCAACTACTCGACCGAGCTCTTCCGCATCAAGGCCGCCTACGAGGAGAACCTGGAGCAGCTCGACTCCGTGCGCCGCGAGAACAAGAACCTCGCCGACGAGATCAAGGACCTGATGGACCAGATCGGCGAGGGCGGACGATCCCTCCACGAGATCCAGAAGAACGCCAAGCGCCTCGAGATCGAGAAGGAGGAACTGCAGGCCGCCCTCGAGGAAGCCGAGGCCGCCCTCGAGCAGGAGGAGAACAAGGTGCTCCGTGCACAGCTTGAGCTCAGCCAGGTCAGACAGGAGATCGACAGGCGCATCCAGGAGAAGGAGGAGGAGTTTGAGAACACCCGGTGAGTTCAGTGTATTTCTTATCAGTACCGATGCATAGATGTCTCTAATATCAATTATACGTTAAACGCACTATTATGGCATTAACATGAGTTCGTGTCTTTTACAGTAAATGCCACCAGCGCGCCATTGACTCCATGCAAGCTTCCCTGGAGGCTGAAGCAAAGGGCAAAGCTGAAGCTCTCCGCATGAAGAAGAAGCTCGAGTCTGACATCAACGAGCTGGAGATCGCCCTCGACCACTCCAACAAGGCCAACGCCGACCTCCAGAAACACATCAAGAAGATCCAGGGCGAGATGAAGGAACTCCAGGCCCGCGTCGAGGAGGAGCAGCGCCTCGCGTCAGAGTACAGGGAACAGTATGGCATCGCAGAGCGTCGAGCCAACGCCCTGCACGGCGAGTTGGAGGAGTCCCGCACGCTCCTGGAACAGTCCGACCGCGGCCGTCGCCAGGCTGAGGCCGAGCTCGCCGAGGCCCACGACCACATCAACGACATCACTGCGCAGAACGGCTCCCTCACCGTCGCCAAGAGGAAGCTCGAGGGAGAAATGCAGACCCTGCATGTAAGTATTGGGAGTGCGTATTTCGTGGGTTCGGGATGCATGGCACCGCGTGAATACAGTACCTCATGTTTCAGACTGTCGTTCCATATGCGCTTTCTCTTCGCAACAGGCTGATCTTGACGAGATGTTGAACGAGGCCAAGAACTCGGAGGAGAAGGCCAAGAAGGCCATGGTCGACGCCGCCCGCCTCGCCGACGAGCTCCGCGCCGAGCAGGAGCACGCCCAGACCCAGGAGAAGATGCGCAAGGCCCTCGAAGTGTCCGTGAAGGAGCTCCAGGTCCGCCTGGAAGAGGTCGAGACCAACGCTCTGAAGACCGGCAAGAAGGCCGTGGCCAAGCTGGAGAGCCGCGTCAGGGAGCTGGAGAACCAGCTGGACGACGAGAGCCGCCGCCACGCCGACGCCCAGAAGAACCTGAGGAAGTGCGAGAGGCGCATCAAGGAGCTCAGCTTCCAGTCCGACGAGGACAAGAAGAACCACGAGAGGATGCAGGACCTGGTCGACAAGCTGCAGCAGAAGATCAAGACGTACAAGCGCCAGATCGAGGAGGCCGAGGAGATCGCCGCCCTCAACCTGGCCAAGTTCCGCAAGGCCCAGCAGGAGCTGGAGGAGGCCGAGGAGCGCGTCGAGAACGCCGAGCAGGCTGCCAACAAGGCTAAGGTGAAGGGCCGCGCCAGTTCTCTGGCTCGGATGTCCCCGCAGGTAAGGTCACCGGACACGCGCCCACAGCAGCAGAGCGGTAACAGCAATAACAAATTAACGGCGAGAAGCTCCCTCTAGTTTTTCTTCTTTTTCCGTTCTTCGGTTTTTCATTCCATAAGGATTCTGATAATACATTAACCTCTGTTATTTCCACTTTCGTTCTTGAATCTATTATTTATTTATTTAATCAAAACCACACAAAGTAAAAGAAGAGATAACTCGATAATCCATAAAACAAACTGACAATCTATCAAACCTCAAAACGACCTGAGATCAGCGTCGAAATCTTAAGCTTCATGAATATAATTTATTTTGCTTTGATTTCCCGTTAAGTTGAATTAATTCCTTGCTGCTGGATTTAATAACCTAAAATGGGCTTGTTATGCCTGGTGACCGGGCCTACCTCCGCCCTTGCTTCGTAACGCTTAATGATAAAACAAACAAACAAACAAACAGTAAACTACACCTGCAATTTCTCTATCATAATACATGAACTACAAACCAATCTGCGAATTCAATTTTCCTCTGAATTCAAAAGGCAGTTGGATAATGACAAAATAAGTCGTGACAAATTTAAAATTCAAAACTTCCCAACCAATCCATCATAAATATCTATTATTCTCTTAATCACGTGTCTTATCTTTCCTGTACGTTTATCTTCCAATCTTTCAATCCATCTTCCACGACACTTAGCATGAGTCTCTTGTAAGTAGCTAATTCCCTTCATCCCTCTGTTTCAGATCTAAGTATCTAAGTGTCTCCTCTTAGTGACATAGTAAGTATTCGGTCTTTAGCACGAACACCTTCCTCTCCATGTCTCTAACCGTCGTCTTGTTAACTCTCTCTCTCCACGAATGTTCTGAATATGTTTTGGAACCACATTAGTACTCATACACCCAGAATATATATATAATTTTTTCTTTTTTTGTGTATGTGTATGTGTTGTGTGTGTGTGTGTGTGTGTGTGTGTGTGTGTGTGTGTGTGTGTGTGTGTGTGTGTGTGTGTGTGTGTGTGTGTGTGTGTGTGAGAGTGTGTGCATTATACATATATTCCCGTATACATCCATATGTTCACAACTATACGTATTTGTATGCAAGCAAATGCATACAGATATAATACAGAGAATAGGCAAAATCATGCATGCCTACGTGTATCAATATGAACATTTTAGTTGACACACACACACACGCACACACACACACACACACACACACACACACACACACACACACACACACACACACACACACACACACACACACACACACACACACACACACAACACACACACACACACACACACACACACACACACACACACACACACACACACACACACACACACACACACACACACACACACACACACACACACACACACACACACACACACACACACATCACACACGACACATCGCACCTCATGAAGACAGACGACTAACGTTTCTCCCCTTCTCTCCCCCACAGCCCACGGCCCAGCTGCTGCAGAGGATGATGCAATAGAAACCCCCACCCCCACCCAACCCCATCCCTCCACCCCCACCCCCACCCCCGTGTCCGGCCAGGTGTGACATTCCCGGAGAAAGTGACGCCATCTTGGACATCTCGACCGACCTGTCCCTCAGTACTTCCAACTTCGTGTTTTTTTTTTCTTATTACAAATGAGTTATTCATTATTGTTGTTTTAAATCTCTCTGAATCGAGGAATTCTTGTAGTGTTTTTTTTTTTCTTCTTATCTGTTGTGTCCAGCGTAGTATCACAAGGAGACGCGGCCGGTTAAAGGTGGGAGTGATTTTGTAATTCATTGTTACCTTCCTCTCTACCTCTCGCAAGCCGCCATCTTTGCCCGAGTCGGAGAGTCATCTAACGAGTCAGACACACACAAACAAGCAGTTAACGATCGAACAGCCCGGGTAATGATCGTTACTTGTCACTCTCTCTTTAACCGTTCTCGCGATACCGTTACCAGCCGTTACCAATTTTGAAATTTCTTTTTTGAAGATTTTTTTTTAAAGATATTCCTTTATTTCTTACTCCAAACCCCAAGAAACACCAATCCTAAGAATGTAAAACGTTCTTTTTTTTCCTTTCCTGTGAGGCCGTGGGGTGCAATTCATATTTTTTTATATTCAAGGGACATTTTTTCCCCACTTTATCGGTTTGGTTAGGACACGGAGCTATAAACCTAGTCTACCTTTTTTATTATTGTAATTTCTCCTATTCCCTCTCCTTTAGTGTTGACCGACGCCATTTTAGTGAACAGGGAAAGAGACTCCAACGCGTGTATTTATTTTCTAGCTTAGATCACACTGGATAAAAAAAAATCAACCCTTTATAACAATGAAAAAAATAACTTGATTCCTTGTGTACTACAAATGTTTCAAAATGTATGTATGGATCTGTACAAGAATGCGTTAAATAAATATATGGCTGGGAATCCTACGTATCCTTCTCCTTACCATTCATTATTTCTTAAAAAAAAATGTAACAAGAACCTTCAAATAGAAAAGAAAATATAGAAAGAAAAAGAATTACTACAAATAGAAAAGAAAATAATTTATATGATGATACAGCAAGTTATCAAGAAAAAAATGATGTTGAGTGTATGTTATGTCCGCAACCTCCATTCCCTTAGCATGAATATATTTTTGGAACAACACCTTCGTTCCAAGTTCCCAACTCTTCTCCGTTCAGCCAGGACCTGAACTATTGTTTCGTCTCCCTGTTAAAAAAAACCTGTACCTGTGTTCTACTAATCAACATATTAGGATCTGAGAATGCTACAGGAAATCAAGCACAATATAAGTATATAGATAAATATGTGGCAGAATATAATTGTTTTATCAATGTACTCCATATCGCAGTTTTAGAAATCACAGCAAATGCCTTTATAATGTCTTTAATTTCGCTTAAGTCCATTTTTTTGTATGTTCATATACATCATACTACAGCTACAAAAAGCTCTTGAGTACGATATCTGAAACACCGCAGTTATTCCAAAATGTAATACCATGACCTGAATGAGGCTCACTGACCTCTTACGGCATTCTCCCCTTCCTCTTTCTTAAAGATATGAATCTAAAGGTTTATGAATAGACCAAATAGCCACAGTTACTCTCGAGTGTGGAAAGTGTTCCTAGTAACATAAACAACCATCTATCTATCCACACATATTTCTCTTTCTCTCTCTCTCTCTTTCTCTCTCTCTCTCTCTCTCTCTCTCTCTCTCTCTCTCTCTCTCTCTCTCTCTCTCTCTCTCTCTCTCTCCTCTCTCTCTCTCTCTCTCTCTCTCTCTCTCTCTCTCTCTCTCTCTCTCTCTCTCCTCTACTCCCTCCCTCTCCTCTCTCTCTCTCTCTCTCTCCTCTCTCTCTCTATCTATCTATAAATCCGAAACAAGCAACTTTGTTCATCCTACAACGCCCCGCTCACTCCCTCGACAGTCATTGTGTGAACTATCGTAGACGCTTTCACATTCATTATAGATTTTTCTCCTTATACCTGACAAAAGAATCAATTGATTTAATACATCAGTCATAGAAGTAAAACTACATTCTGCCTTTCATTGCAGAGTGGCTATCTGCAAGTAGATTAACTTGGATTACATAATTTGTTTATTACACATCCTGGTACCGAAATATAATGTTCTGTCCATTCATTAATTCATAAGTTGATTTTCCATCCCCGACAAACTGAACTATCAATCATATACAACTAAACCTGTAGATGATTTAGTGTCAATGAAGAAAATTAAATGAAAAGCCATTAAGTTACTGAATGTGACTCGAACCCATGAATACTGTAGCCTATATCATAATTTCAAATGGTGTTTATCTGTGACATGAAGAGTATATCAAGTCATTCAACGGCAGATTATTAATAGATTTTGAAAGGGATTATGCAAATGGTTCAATTTAGAGTTAATTGACATTAGATAGATTATTATCATTATCATTATTATAATCATATATCATCATCATCATCATCATCATCATCATCATTAATTATTATTATTATTATATTATTATTATATTATTATTATTATTATTATTATATTATTATTATTATTATTATTATTATTAATTATTATTATTATTAATTATTATTATCATTATTATCATTTATTATTATCCATTATTATTCAATTAATTATATTATTATTATTATCATTAATTATTTATTATTATCATTATCATTATTGATTTATTTTTATTTTTTTGTTTTTTATTTTTTAAGAAGGCAGAATATTTCAAAATCTGTTTGAATCTTCGTAATGACCCGACTTACAGGTGCCAAGTCGGTTGTTTTTATATCTTCATAAACTGTCGTTCCTAATTACGATAATTATAATTTCTTATGCTGTCCAAACACTGCAGTTCTATCCCTTGGTGCGAATCTAGCTATATATATAACTGTCTGTCTATGTATGTATCTATCTGTCTATCTATCTATCTATCTACACACCCATCCATCTATCTATCTAACTTTTATCTATCAATCCATCTGTCTGTCTATCTATCTATCCATCTGTCTGTCTATATATCTATCTATCCATCTGTCTATCCACCCATCTGTCTGTCTATCATCTGTCTAATCCACCCATCTGTCTATCCACCCATCTGTCTGTCTATCTATCTATCTATCTATCTATCTATCTACACATCCATCCATCTATCTATCTATCTAACTTTCTATCTACCCTTCTATCTATCTATCTACTATCTATCCATCTACCTACCTATCTATCTATCCATCTATATATCTATTTACCTATCTATCCATCTAATTATCTATTTACCTATCTGCCTATCTATCTGTCTATCTATTTACCTATCTATCTATCTATCTATCCATCTATCTATCTATCTCTGTTAGTCTGGGGGTCACTGTTCTTTTCTGTTAGTCTGTTCGTATATAAATATAACTGATTATCTATCTTGTGTCAGTTTATCTATCTGTCTGTCTACTACAAATATTTCTCTCAAATGCTATCTATATATTCCTGTTCCTGCGCATGGAAAATATTTTTCTTTTCTATTGCATCTTTCACAAAGTATTTTCGTACTTTTACATCTATCATGCTTTCTCGTCTGTGACTGTCTGTGTCTGTCTGTCTGTCTCGTCTTTGTCTGTCTGTCTGTCTGTTCTGGTCTTTTCTGTCCTGTCTGTCTGTCTGTCTGTCTGTCTGTCTTCTGTCTGTCTGTCCTGTCTGCTCTGTCTGTCTCCTCTCTCCTCTCTCTCTTCTATCTCTCTCTCTGCTTCTCTCTCTTCTTCTCCTCATCTCCTCTCTCTTCCTCATCTCCTCTCTCTTCTCCTCTCTCTCCTCTCTCTTCTCCTCTCCCCTCTCTCTCTCTCTCTCTTTCTCTGTCTATCTTACCCTATCCTATGCTACCTCTTCTTTCTGTTCTCGGCCAATTTTCTCCCCTATGATTATATTCGTTTTTTACTATGCCTATCTTACCCCATCTATTTTCGTGTCTCTCCTCACCCCCTGTTATTCTCTCTCTCTCCCTCTCATTATTATTCTCTTTCCCTCTCCCTCTGTTTATACATCTCCCCCGCACGTCTCTCCCCTCTCCCGTTATTTGTCTTTCTCTCCTCTCATTAAATATTCTTTTCCCCCTTCCCTCGTAATTATTCATGCTCCCCTACTCTTCCTTCTTTCGCTTCCTTTATCTCACTCTCCCTCATTCTCTTTCTCTCCCTCTCATTATAATTCTTTTCCCCCCTTCCTCTATTTATTCATCCCCTTCTCTCCCTTCTTCCCTTCTTTTCCTTACTCCCCGTTATTCCTCTTTCTCTCCTTCATTATTATTCTTTTCCCCCTTCCCTCTAATTATTCATCTCTCCTTCTCTTCCCTTCTTCTTTCTTTCCTGCACTCCACGTTATTCTCTTTCTCTCCCTCTCATTATTATTCTTTTTCCCTCTCTCTCTGTTTATTCATCTCTCCTTCTCTTCCCTTCTTCCCTTCCCTTTCCTCACTCCCGTATTCTCTTTTCTCCTCATTATCATTCTTTTTCCTCTCACTCTATTTATTCATCTCTCCTTTCCTTCCTTCTCCCTTCCTTTCCTCACTCCCCGTTATTCTCTTTCTCTCCCTCTCATTATTATTCTTTTCCCCTCTCACTCTATTTATTTATCTCTCCTTCTGCGTTCCTTCTCATTGTTTGGGGCCTTCATGAACTCAAAAAAATCAATGAACAGCAGAATTAAGTACATTTTTCCTGGACGATATAATGAGCAAGAACTCTCCTTAGTTTTCCTTCTCTTCTTTCTTCTCAAATTCCTTTTCCTTTGCGTTTTCCCCCTTCTGTCTTTTTATCTCTTTTTCTTTCCTTCTTTAAACTCCTCTTTTCCTTTCTCTGTATCTACTTTCTCTTCTCCTCCTTTGCCTCTTCTCTTTTCCTTCTTATTTCTCAATTCCTTTTCCTTTGTTGTTTTTTTTTTTTTTTTTTTTTTTTTTTTTTTTTTTCCCTTCTGTCTTTTATTCTTTTTCTTTCCCGTCTTTCCTTCCTCTTTCCCTTTTTCTGTGGATCTACCTTTCTCTTT